GATTAAATCTATATAAATAAAAATGAAAATGTTCGTTTGTTCAAAATCGCTAATCTCCGAAAGTTCTTCACCGATTGCCTTGAAATTTTCACAAAACGCTCCATTCGTATCTGAGCAGATTTTTATATACAAACTATACAGATGTCACGTCAGTGACGGGGAAAACGTGCTTTTTTTAAAAGATGTGTTTTTCGTGTGTTTTTCATGTGAGGGAAATCTTCGAAACCTCTTTACCTCTATATTGACCGCTTTGAAATTTTGACACAACATTGCATTCCAATAGGCAAGTGTTTTTGTATACCTACTGTATACATGCCTCACCTGTGACAGGAAAAAATATGTATTTTTTTTAAAGAGCGCCATCTCTAGGACATAGGAGCAACATACACTGTAATCTCTGAAATGTCTTTACCGATTGCTTTGAAATTTTGACACAACGTTCCAGTCGCATACGTGCGTGTTTTTGTATACCTACTATTTAGATGCCACACCTTTGACAGGTAAAAACATGCTTTTTTTTTTTAACAACGCCATCTGCTGCACGAAAGACAACCCGTTCTCGCAAATTTAATAAGTCAATATTGACTTATTAAATATGTGCATAGATGACATACTTAACATAATAGTTTCCCTTGAAAAGCTTCATAGAAAACACCGACCGTACCTAACCTACTTAGTATGTTAAGATAAGCATCTTATTGCTTCGTAATTACAATTATTACCTAACCTATACCTATAATAGGTTAAGTAACAATTGTAATTACGAAGCTATAAGATGCTTATTTTAAAATACTAAGTAGGTTAGGTAAGGTCGGTGTTTTCTATGAAGCTTTTCAAGGGAAACTATTATGTTTAGTATGTCACCTATGCACGCAACTAATAAGTCAATATTGACTTATTAAATTTGCGAGAACGGGTTGCGAAAGAGCAACACACGATATACAAAATATGTTACGATTCCATTTCAATGTTTCTGATTGCATTGATAAATTGAATTTTCATAGATTTTGATTTATTTTCATTTTGATATAATTATTTAGTGTGACGTTGCGTTGAAATTGAGCTGTGTTGTTTACAATACCGTTCATTTTGTGGATATAGCTTATTTGTTTCTTTTTCATTGATTTCATTTCGTTTTTTACTGTTCTTCGTATTTTTCAATGCAATTGGTGGTGAAATTGAGATGTTTCGATTGATCTGCGTTTGAATTGAAATATTTCGTTAGTATTTTTTATTTTGGTTTTGAAAACAAGAAAATGGACAACACGTTTATTTCACAGCGGCAAATGTGCAACAAACAGCTATGAATCCACCGGCTACAACGTTAACTGCTTTCTTCACGTTATGTCAAAATGACGCATTTGCGAAAACATTGCTGTATTCGGAAGTGCCTACGTATTACACATGGAATGCCAGTAGAAAATAATTTGAACGACGCAAACGAGGAGAGCGAGTCGACGGACAACCTGGCATATTCAGATAAACTGCGATAGGCAGACTGTACACCGTGCATCCCAATCAGGATGAATGCTTCTTTCTTCGCATGCTGTTGGTAAATGTGCTCGGTCCAACGTATTTCCAGCAACTGACATTTGTCATCAGTGTAACACATGCCACTTTCCGTAGTGCATGTCAAACTCTTAATTTATTGGAGAACCACCGACACTGGGATGTATGCATTAATGACGCCTCCAACACATCACATTCAAATCAAATTCGTGCATTGTTTGCAATCATACTGACCGCCTGCTCTCCTTCATCTCCAACAAAGTTATGGGAGAAATATAAATCGCACATGGCTGAAGATATTATCCGTCGAATACGCAAGGAAAATTCATATATGAACATGGATTTCCCAGCAGAAATCTACAACGAAACGATGATAATGATTGATGATTTGTGATTAGAAATCGCGAACAAAGTTCTAAATCAATTGGAACATTACTGAATCGATTTGCTGCTGCTTCTTTCATTGGGGAATTGCATCCTGCACAAAATTACAGCACGAGTGATATGTTGTCGTATGTGCAATCAAATATTCCTAAGCTAACACTTGAGCAAAAAGGCATTTACAATCAAATAATTCAAGCTGTCAATAACGGGCTTGGAGAAATCTTCTTAGAAGCGCTCGAGGAACTGGTAAAACCTTCCTAATTAGATTGATTCTGGCAGCATTTCGATCCCAAAATGGCATAACCGTAGCTCTTGCATCGTCCGGAATAGCTGTGGCATTGCTACCAGGTGGAAAAACGGCTACTTCGGCTTTGAAATTGCCATTGAACATACAGTTTGTAGTGAGTTAATCTTATACTCGCTCCATTATCTCATTATCTTAATAGCATAACTAATTAGCACTAATTACAGAAGCTACAATCCTTTCCCCAATTACAGGTAATACTCTTCTCATCTTGTTGGAGGGAGCTGAGGTGTTGTCACCATATAAGCAAGCGATATGAAGAATAGCGGCAGACGGGAGACATCTCCCGTCAATCAGGGTGTAGTCGCACCTCCACAGATCTCCAGTATCAACTAATGATACTGGTAATGGCTCAAAAGGGCCACCACTTACGGGCTATTCATGCGCATGCCACCTTTTAGGTGGCTTAATCTACATCAATCAATCAATCAGAATAGCGGACAGTACAATTTCCACAGTCAACAATGTAGCACTCGGCGTGTACAGTTCTACTCAACCCAAGACGCTACAGCTTCGACACAGAGCAGACAGCAGACTACGACCGCTTCGAGCTACAACGCTCTCGCTCTCCGAGTTCAGACACTTGAAATTCCCAATCGAGCCGCCATGCTCTCGCTCCCCGAGTTCAGATACTCACAATTCTCAATCGAGCCGTCACGCTCTCCCACATAGAGCTCCGCGACTCCGGCCTCACTCAGCTCTCTGCTCTGCTCCAAGCTCCGTCTGAACGTTTACGACAATGCCACCAACCGACTACTGTAATCAAGACTACTAAATAAATATGAAAACTCACTTAACAATGTATATCTAATCTACCCAATAACGTAACATAAACGTACGTTACAAGTTCATTGAAACTCCCACGTGCAACATTTCCAAAGCATCTGGCAAGGGAAAAGTATTGCAGAAATGCAAACTTATTGTTTGGGATGAATGCACAATGGCCCACAAACGATAGCTCGAGGCTCTTGATCGATTCTTGAGGTTATCTCGAGATGATTTCGGGGCTTAGTATCCCCGCGGCCCGGTTCTCTGCCAGGCTTCCTTTCTGTTACACACCCCCAGGAAGCAGCCCGTAGCAGCTGTCTAACTCCCAGGTACCCATTTACTGCTAGGTAACAGTGCATCAGGGTTAAAGAAACTTTTTGCCCATTAGTCTCCACCTCCAATGAGGATCGAACTCGGAACCTCAGGACTACGAATCCGAAGCGCTGTCCACTCAGCTGTCAGGCGCCCCGATCATTGCAAGACTTACATGGAAACATCAGACCATTTGAGAACGCATTAATATTGCTTGCAGGAGATTTCAAGCAAACATTACCTGTAATTCCTCGATCGACACCAGCGGACGAAATAAATGCTTGCCAGAAATATACTGTGCTTTGTGGCGCCACGTAAAGACGTTAAAATTAACTACAAATATGCGTGTCCAGCTGCAAAACGATCCATCAGCTAAGATATTCTCACATCAATTTCTGGAAATTGGGAAAGGAAACGTGCCGGTTGATCTGACCTCAGGACGAATTTCATTGCCTCATAACTTCTACAATTTAGTAATGTCAAAAAAATAATTTGTTGGAAAAAGTATTTCCCATTATTCAAACCTATTATAAGAATCACGATTGGCTGAGTGAACGAGCTATTCTTGCGGCCAAGAACAAAGACATCTACGAACTTAACAATATTATTCAGCTTAGCATTCAAGGCGAGGCAGTCACATACAAGTCCGTCGACACTGTTGAGGAAGCAGATGAAGCGATTAATTATCATACAGGATTTTTTAATTCACTCGATCTGCCAAGGATACCATCGCCTGTACGGCAATTGAAAATCGGCTTGCCAATTATCATGTTGCGAAATATGTACCAGCCAAAACTTTGCAACGGCACGCGGCATGCAGTAAAAAATTAATCAGCAACGTCACAGCAGTAACAATCTTGACAAGACTTTTCAAAAGTAAAGATGTTCTTATTCCTCGCATTCCTATGATTCCAACAGATATGCCAATTCAGTTTAAGAGATTGTAATTTCCAATTCGATTGGCGTTTGCAATCACCATCAACAAAGCTCAGGGCCAGTCTTTAGAATTGTGCAGTTTAGATCTAGACACGGATTGCTTCTCACATGGACAATTACATGTTGCGTGTTCTAGGGTCGGCAAACCAGACAATCTCTATATCTCCACAGACGATAGACCAACAAAAAATATTGTACACCACAAAGCATTGTAAAATTAAGCATATTAGAAACGTGCGCTCTCTCTTCCATTTCTTTTCCATTTAACCAGACTGAGCCACAGCAACGCGTGGCGGGTACAGCTAGTATTTAAATAAATGTGTCTGAACCTTATTTATCATTTGAGAAATTCCTTTTCACTAAGATGAGTTAACTACGATAGTCTCACAGTAAAAGTATTATGCTGAACTTAGGTAAAAAAAAAAAGTAATTTTATCAACAATGTTGGGCAAAAAATGCTACTTATCCAGAAAATATTAAATGTCAAACATGCACTGCATGAACCATTGAAAGCTTTTCGCATTCAAATTTGACAAATTACTATTAGTTAGTAATACTATCTAAATGCATACTCTTAAAAGATGGGTTTTAAATCATAGTCGAATTAATTTCCTTCCACAAGAAACCTTGTTGGGATGTACTACATACGCAAAGTTAACTTTAGTCCAAGACTACAAGACTCAAGTATAGTTGCTGGTGGGTTAGTAAGCTAGCTAGTGGCACGGTTTAAGAACAATCCAAAGGTTGACAGGTGTAAAGCCCAACACCAAAAACTTGGTTAACTTACATATCAAGCATATAACCATAGATGATACTGCCAAAAAGGGTGCCAAGTTGGCTCGCTGCTTGAGTGGTAGAGTAGAGAGGTCGTCGATCACACACCAGGTCCCACTGAAATATAACTCGTTTAGTCTCGGTTATAATCCTTGTGATACAAGTATTCCTTATATCCTTCACATTCTTATGTAGTCTCATTCTGACTCATGGGTCATCTTAGCCACTGAACTTACAACAGTAATTTATACAACAACTGTTGTTCTTTATGTAAACAATATTTCAAGCTAACGCCAAGTCAACAAGCCGATGGGTTTACAACCAACAACCCTCCCTGTCAAACGTTGACGTCAAAATCCCAAACGGGCAAATAAAAGGGTAGTATAATTCATAGCGACTCGCAAACATTCACTTTTTCAATAATAGGAGTCCATAGGTTAGGTGAAGCTCCATTGTTTTAATCCTCCATTTTCTGTTCGTTGTGGCAACTCCAGAGGACGAGCTGCACTGATCTACATTACATTACTTGATATCATTTAGAAGATTTACTCAATGTCACTGTTTTTCGTGCATCGTCACAAACACAAGTGTCGTAATAAACACAGTGCCAGGAATACAAGTGTCGTAGTAAACACAGTGCCAGGAACACAAGTGTCGTAGTAAACACAGTACCAGGAACACGTGTCGTAATAAACACAGTGCCAGGAACACAAGTGTCGTAGTAAACACAGTACCAGTTCCTGTGTTCCACAGGAACACAAGTACAAAAGTTGGAGATGTAGGCAGGAGAGAAAGGGAAGGTACTTCACTGGATAAAGGAATACCTAAGTAGCATAGGTAAGCATAGGTAGCATAGATAAAGGAATACCTAAGTAGCATAGGTAGCATAGATAAAGGAATACCTAAAGGTGAGGCATCAGATTGGCGAGACTTCACCATTGGAGTCCCACAGGGTTTAGTCCTTGGACCTGTACTGTCTCTGATATATGTAAATGATCTACCAGAGGGAATAGAATCATTCCTCTCATTGTTTGTTGATGATGCAAAAATTATGAGGAGGATTAAGACGGAGGAAGATAGTAGGTGACAACAAGATGACCTAGACAAACTGAATGAATGGTCCAACAAATGGCTACTAAAGTTCAACCCGAGTATATGTAAGGTAATGAAACTAGACAGTGGAATAGGAGGCCAGACACAGGATACCGAATGGGAGATGAAGTACTTCATGAAACGGACAGAGAGAAAGATCTAGGAGTTGATATCACACCAAACTTATCTCCTGAAACCCACATAAAAAGAATAACATCTGCGGCGCAGGCAAGGCTGGTTAAGATCAGAACAGCCCTCAGGAACCTGTGCAAGGAATCATTCAGAATCTTGTATACCACATTTGTAAGACCAATCCTGGAGTATGAGGCCCCAGCATGGAGCCCGTACCTTGTCAAGCACAAGACGAAGCTGGAAAAAGTTCAGAGGTATGCCGCTAAGCTAGTCCCAGAACTAAGAGGCATGAGTTACCAGGAAAGACTGCGTGAAAAGCACCTCACGACACTTAGAGACAGAAGAGTAAGGGGAGACATGATCACATCCTATAAAATTCTCAGAGAAATTGACAGAGTAGATAAAGATAAACTGTTTAACACAGGTGGTATGCGAACAAGAGGACACATGTGGAAACTGAGTATCTAAATGAGTCACAGGGACGTTAAAAAAATATTTTCAGTGTCAGAGTAGTTAACAGATGGAATTTATTAGGCAGTAATGTGGTGGAGGCAGACTCCATACACAGTTTCAAATGTAGTTATGATAGAGCTGAGTAGGCTCAGGAATCTGTTCACCAGTTGATTGACAATTGAGAGGCGGAATCAAAGAGCCAGAGCTCAACCCCCGCAAGCATAACTAGGTGAGTACAAGTGTAGTAACAAGTACAAGTACAAGTGTACAACATCTCTTTCTAGGCGTTTAACGATGCATAAGCAACAGGGCTCCATTAGGAACATATAATCTCTTCCCATAACCAAACCATCGCCAGAGAAATCCTAGTAAACAACACAGAAATCATCGATAGATACAGCGATAGCAGGCGGCTTGACGTTTGCGAGGCATTACACATCAAGAAGTCAACACCAGCAATCAACAGCCAATTAATGCACAACTATATTCTACCCACCTCAAGACTCCGCTCCAATATAGAAGCATCAAGAAATATGGACCAATAGGCTTTCTACAATCATTTCTATTCAATACCCATTGTTTCGTGTTCTGTCTTGTGTTGATGAAATTAATACCTTATTAAATACCACCTCACCCCATCCACCTCACTCAAATGTAGATATAAACAAAATCGGAGATGTGTAAGTTCTATTCAGTTGTGTATGTGTTAACTAAAGTCTTTGAAAGTGTAATAAGTTTTACGAAACGCGCTCAAGTGTCGCGTTAGACTAGAAATAAAAATGAATTTTGAAGAATTGATTTTTGAATTACCACCAACAGTGAAAAGAAATGTACGAAAGATTAAGAAAATTAGTGTTAGAATTATTAATCTTACTCTTTCGGTCATATTTAATAATATATGTCTACAGGAAAGACTGCTACCAAAATATACTAATATTATATATATATATATATATATATATATATATATATATATATATATATATATATATATATATATATATATATATATATATATATATATATATATATATATATATATATATATATATATATATATATATATATATATATATATATATCTGAATATAGATAATACTTGTCTGAATACAGGGGTAAACCAATTAAATTACGAATATCATAGTAGTGAAATAACAAAATTATCTAACCATAGATAAGTGGCATAAAAGCATCATTACTAACATCTTGGTGGCTATATTACAAATATTATTTTGTGGTGTCATATAGACATCACAAAGAAAACCAAAGCTTAGTATTACATAGACATTTCAGACCTAAAACATAATTTCAGCATACAAACTTTTACGTCAATGTATGGTGTTGAAATATACATACCGAGTCTTTCGCACCATTTATCGATGAATATACGTTGAAATTTGAATTTAGTTAGCCACTTTGTTCAGTACAAAACGTGTCCTGAATACTTGCTGAATGGTCAATAAACTATTAATTATTGTGGCTTTAATAACCATTAGAGGTTGATTGGCTTTAAGCTAATCACCAAACCAAATTCAAAGATTAAAACTGTACCATCAAGACCTAATTTCAGTGTAACAGAAATTGTTACAGGAACAACACACAATATCACACTCATAACCAGTACATGGGTCGTTACTGTATTTCATTAAAAAATATATATTTTGCAGTTTCTGATGGAAGGGACCTGATGATCACTTTATGAGTGACAATATAAGACGTGGATTTATTAAATGAGAGAAAAAATGCTACTCAAAAACAATATTGAGAGAACGTAGGAGAGAACTCACTTAAACGCAGTAGACCACAATATTTACAAATAACCCAAAGAAAACAACGCACAGGTTTCAAACAGTACATAGCAGAAATACATCACTGATCTGTTTACATCAATTACAGAAACAAAAATGTTCTTTTTTTGTGTTCAAGTATATACGGGCCGTGTATGTAAGCCTATGTTTATGCACAAAACATATTAACATAATTATTAAACATAATTATTAATTATATGATTTTAACACGCAACTGAAAATAATATTTAATTATGGTTCATGTTGGGTTTAAGGCCTATGTCTGTCTTAAGCACTGTTGGTTATTAAAGCCGTAACTAACACTCTGGCACTGTTGAGTTATTAAAGCCGTAACTACCTTTCTGAACCAAGAAGCGGGTACATTTCTTTCATATAATGTATCAACTGCTGAAGGGTTATTAAGTCCATGACAATAGTATACTTGTATACTTACTAATCATCAAATACTCTTTAGTCCTTAACATAGTCCAGATCTGAAGTAAATTCTGAAGTGAATGTATTCCGAAACAAAAGACATACATACCACTCTGTGTATATCTCCTATCAATCGTAATTATATATACATGCAACCTGTTTTATTCATCCCAAAACATTATAAATATAACATTACCTCTGTGACAATGGTAGAATCATACTGGGATAAATTAAACTGGTGTGAGGTGCATGAGAGAATGTCAGCGTTGGGCAGAGCAATGGCTGACTCGTTGGCCAGGCTCTTGTCAAAGCCCAGCTCCACTGCTGCTGTATAGTTGTAGTTCCGTATGAAACATCCGTTCACTTGCCCTGTATCATTGCTGTAACGTAACACATTATTATATTACCTCCAGCAACTGCTGTAAATATCATGTTAAGTGTCTATATCAAATCTTCAATTTATCATGAACTGCATGCCACGTAATGATAATTGAACTTATAAATATATAAGTTGGTTGTATGAAGTCAAGGCCTACCTCCGAATGAATTCTAAATTTGTTGCTATTACCCACTAAACAATCTGCCAGTTACTAATTATTGGGGTTAGAGAAATCGTTGGCTTTGTCTAGGAGCCTGATAGTGATTAACCCTAACACAATAGAGATGGGTGCGAACTACTGATAAATACCTTTATTTATAAAAAAATAATTGGTTAAAGGCAAATGAAAGTCGTTTGTTGAGATCCAAATACTAGATATATGGATTGTTTGAGTACCAGTAAGTATTTCTGGATTTGCCGTTTGACTACTAGAGGGTGCGGTAGTGTCGGCCTTGCTCTGCAATCTCTGCCCACCTAGTGGTGTTGACGGTTATTAGTTGAGACGTTGCTGGGGCCTGCAGGTGTGGGGTGGGCCTGCATTATGGGGTTTCCCTTGCCCCCGGTGCGGCGGATGTCGTAGGCTGGGATTGATTTCTCTGGCCAGGTGGACTTTCTGGCTCTTGATGTGGCGCTGGTGGATGTGCTATGTGTTGCTGTGACGGAGGTGATTGGTGTCCAGCTCGTTACTGGCCACCAGGCGGTGGTGAAGTTCCATTACAATGCTGTGTTTCTGGACTTTATTCAGCGTTATGACGGGCACACTTTTCCGTTGCCTGGGATGCTGGTACTGTGCAGGTTTCGGATTTTAGTGTTCAGACCACCTAAGTGAATGTGCAGGGCACGCTCTTTCAGTTTCCGAAGGAACTGATGGTCGATTTTTTTTTAAAGTACAGGAGGGTATTGCACCACAGGATGAAAGTGCTTTCCTCTGAACGTCTGACGGGCCTATAGAATGGAACTCGGATCCTCACTATGAAACTTGTGTCCGCTATTCCGTCCTGTGTGGTGCTGATGGGGTTCACCATCAGGTGTTTCTGCTCGGGTCAGCCTGGCACGTGTTTTAAGTGCAGCGTGTCAGGGCACTTGGCTGTGGTGTGGCGGAGAGTGTGAATCTCTTCCGGAAGGATTATTTCTCGTCTTTATTTCTGTCCGGTTAGGGGGGACATTTTGTTATGTAAGGAGCAGATTAGAAGGTTGTGGGAGGAGATGGCTGAGTGGGTTCGTGTGTAGGCTGGGGTTGCGGAACGGTTGTTTGGTGAGCGTCTTTCGCAGGTTTTACTGTGGAAGGAGAAGGTGGATCGTCCTTCTGTTTTGTTGACAGTCCTCAATCAGCCGGATGGGTTGGTGTTGTCGAACACGGATGGGGTCTTTTTGTATGTTCGTCGGGAACTTGAAGGGTTGTATGGGCCGGTCGAGGGGGGGGGGATGGGGAGATGGAGGATTTCTTACTTCGGCACTGTTCCCCCGGTTTGTTGTCGGTGGATTGTCTTGGTCTTGTGAGTGAGGCAGATCTTTTGGAGGTTTGGGATATTGTGCGCTCTTTTCGTCATACTAAAGTTCTCAGGTATGATGGCCTTCCGGCGGAATTTTATGTTTTTTTTTGGGGGGGGGGGGGGTGTGGGTGGGGGGGAATGTAATTGGCTCATATTTTCTAGAAGTGGTCAGGTTCTGTTTGGGGTGGATGTCGTTAACTGCTTCACAGACTGATGGTATTGTGCAGTTGCTCCCAAAGCCAGGGGATTTGCGTTTCTTTTAAAATTGGCGTCCAATTACGCTGTTGAATCTTGATTATAGGATTATATCTAAGCTGTTGGCTGGGCAGTTTCGTTTGATGGTCGGGTCATTGGTTTCTGTGGAACAGTTTTGTGGGGGTCCTGGGAGGTCATTAGTGCAGTGTAGTTCCCATTTTCGGGATGTAATCGTTTATGAGTCGAGGTCTGGTCTTCCTGCGGCTATGATCAGTCTGGATTAGTCGAAGGCATTTGATCGCGGTCCGATTGCGTTTGTGTTGCATGTCTTGCAGAGCAGAGGCTTGGGTTCCTCAAGCCTCTTGTGGGTTGGTAGGATGGAGGTTACGATTTGGGTCAGAATTTGGGCTTTTTTGGGGTCGATTACGGTATACTATGTGTATACCGCGCGGAGGAACATTTCCAAGGGTGTTTGATCGTTGGTTTACAGGGGCGTCTGTGGGGTGTGCAAATTTGTTATAGATTGTGGGTTTTTTTGTTGTGTGTTTTCTTAGTCCTGTAGTGTGTTTTATATGTTTGCGAGTGTTCTTCTTTACTTGATTGTTGCTTATTTTAATCGTGATATGTTGTGTGTGTTGTTTGTGTGCTTTATATTTATCTTTCGTGTATCACTGTTGTTGCGGACTGATGCGGTGTGGATTGTTTGGAAGGTTTTCTGTTTCTGTAATGTTTTGTCTGTGTTGGTTTGTGTGTCTTGGTACACTGTGATTGTGTTGGTGTGCGCTGTTGTTGTACTGGAGTTGTGCTTTGTGTTACGTGTGTTTTGCATTGTTTCCGCTATGCTACATTTTGATGCTTTGGTGCTTTGCTTTGGTTATTTATGTTTATTATTTATATATATTTTTATGTTTTTTTTTGTGTTCTTTTGGTGATGTTTGATGCCGATACCGTACCATCTCAGTGTTATGGTAGTGGTAACGGTCCCAGTGTTTTGGGCCCTGGTGTGATCGTGGCACCAAATGGGTGGTGCGTTTTCGTTTTGTGCATTTCCCTGTATTGTTTTGATGTGTTTATACATATACCGATATGTATACTGACCGTGTGTTGTTCTGCGGGTGTTGTCTGGTCCTGTTTTCTTCTGCATTATATTGTACTATGTTTTATGTGTGTTATGTTTAATGTACAGTTAAATTGCACTGGTGTATTCCTACATGTTTCGTGTTTGAATTGTATTTTCTTTGTTATTATGTTCTCTGTATCCTACTGCTCTGGTGCCTTGTTTTTTATGTTGTATTTATATGTTGTTCCCAATAAAGAAAAACAAAAATAAATAGTCCAGCCACGCCAACAAGTGTTGGACTACAGGGGCACTCTGCAGCGACTCTGAGCGCTCTTATGTGAGAGGACTTAATAGTTTTCCATTGTTGGGGACAAAAAGGCCATTAGGCTTATAGCCATCCCCAGGATGCATGCCAAAACATATGACTAACTCTCAGGAATCTATTTACTACTGGAGGAATATATTGAGTGAAAGGAAACATCTCTAAACGTCTTATCTCTACATCATATACAGGAATCGGATATGGAAACGTGATGAATTATTTCGAAAGTCTTTCAGCCCGGTCCCGATCTTATTTCATGCAGGTCGGCGTCCAATCCCCGACCGTTGAAGTGGTTGGCTACCATTCCTTTCCCCCGTCGCATCCCAAATCCTTATCCTGACCCATTCCAAGGGCTATACAGTCATAATGGCCTGGCGCTTTCCGCTGATAGTTCCCCTTCCCCTTTCACTGGAATCGAACCCAGGACTATTTTGTAGTATGCCGATTCCACTGATCGCTGTGCTACAGGACATGATGGATGTGATTCCATGGGGCACTTGTGTCTTTAGAGCGGGATAAATTAAAATTTACACGCTATATAATGTAACTCCAGGCTTTGAAAGAATGTTGTTAGTAGAGATGGGATTGGCAGGGTCACTTGCCACTTGGGATGGGCCTGGACGGTAGAGCAACGGCCCTGACTCATTCCGTAGATGTTCAATTCCCGATCGCTCTGTCCCATCCTAAATTCTTATCCTGATCCCTTCCAAGTGCTAATAGTCGTAATGCTTGGCGATTCCTCCTCATAGTCTCCTTCTCTTGCCACAGCCGACATCACGAACATAAGTACTAAAAATTATGAAGCTCTGATTCTCAATGATAACATTAATCATTTTAGCTTCCTGTCTTCTTTTTTTAGATTTAACCGGAGACGAGAAATTATTTATATGCCAAAACATGAACTGAAAATACATACGAAATTTCGTTATGATAAAGTAGTAACATGGAAACAATAATTTTAGCACTTTGGTGTATTACTATCAAGAACTGCGTGTAAATACAGGACCACCCTGGCAGACACCGACATTGTCCTCAGTGCCAATTAAACTACCATCCAATGCTATGAAGCTGCTGGCATCCGCAGGGAAAAAGATAAACCCAATATGTCCAAAAAAAAGTCAACTGCTTCAACTTTTTTAAATTTCAAATCTAGGATCCCTGGCTTATATTTGAAATTCCTGGCCTATTGTGAGAAAGTGACTTTTTTTTTTTCTTCAGGATCTGGGTTCCAGGGTCTTCTAGACCCTACAGCGACCATCTTCCTTTTCACCACACTGGAATTCTCCATATTTTCTCAGTCCATCACTATGATAGACTGAGAAAAGATAAATTAATTTAGAGAGAACTCTATAACAAATGCTCAAGAAATGAATAAATCATTAAAAATTATAATTTTATACATTTATTTTGTTTATTGTTTAACTCTACTCAGGAAAATATACATCCCTGATTTTACATGTACTTTATTTCAAATTGTTTCAGATAGTTACATATTTTTGTAATCATTCAATCCGTCCTCAGACCAAGTCCATTCCATCCAGCGGTCGACCCCAAAAATGCATTCATAAATTTTAATACTGTTCATTCAAAACAGGAATTTTCTCAAATATTAATTAATATTATTTTATAGGAATTTTATATTAGCATATTGTGCAAATATAGGCATAGGTTAGGTTAGGTTAGGTTAGGTGTTTAGGTTCTGTTGGCGATTAGTTGTATTTGTAGTACGTGAGTGAAGCATTTATAACGTTGTGGTTCGAACAAAATTCGTCTGTGAAGCACTTGTTCCGGAAATGTTCGAACGTCATCAGTAGTGAGTCGTGTGTAAAGCGTTTTTTCATTCATAAACAGGGGGTTTGTCGTTTGGTGGGTGCATGGAATCACTTTTGGGTCTTTGGAGGACGGGCTGGTATTTGTAGTACGTGGGTGAAGCGTTTACAGCGTTGTTGTTTGAATAAAAGTCGTCAGTGAATCACTTGTTCCGGAAGTGTTTGGACGTCATCAGTTGAGTCGTGTGTAAACGTTTTTTCATTCATTTTTCATTCATAAATCATTAATCTTCACAATTGCGATGATTGAATACTCACTTCTTAGGTATGGCGAGGGCGAGTATCTGCTGGGTAGTCCAGTTGGCCGCCACCAGAGGCGCCACATGACACCAGTAGTCAGGAGTTATGCCCAGAAACTGGTATGTCATAGCACTCCAAGGAGTAACAAATGCAGCTGAGGGGGAAAATCGGAGATCAAAATTATGATTTGGAGAAATTAATTTGAGAGTTTTTTCGTCTGTCTGTCAAGACATTGACTTCTTACATCGGATGAATATTAATGAGCTGACATGCGCACCATTAACCTCATAACTGGGAGGACACGCGTGTCGACGTGTACGTGAGTATGTCTGTACGTGTAAATGCCTAAGTGTAATTACAGGATGAGAGCTACGCTCGTGGTGTCCCGTCTTACCAGTACTCTTTGTATAACTCTTTGAAACTACTGACGTTTTTGGCCTTAACCACCTTCCCACTTAATTTATACCAACCGTCTACCACTCTGTTTGCAAAAGAAAACATTATAATATTTTTTCGTCACCTTTGTTTCCAAACCTTGAATTTGCGAACTCTTGTTCTTGAAGTTGCTGGTTTTTGGAATTATTCTTTGTCAATTTGGTCGATTCCTGTTGTTATTTTCTAAATGATGATCATATCACTTGTTTTCTTCTATCTTCTAGCCTTAGTTAATTTAACGCCTCTAACCTGTCTTTGTAACTCTTCTTTTTCAGCTCCAAAAGTAATTTAGTAGCATGCATTTACACCTTGTCCAGTTTATTCTTGTGCTTGTTGAGATATAGGCACTATACAACTGCTACATATTCCAAATTTGGTCTCACAAAAGTCATCAACAGTTAGCAGGCGATGAGTCACAATAACGTGGCTGAAGTATGTTGATCAGACCACACACTAGAAAGTGAAGGGACGACGACGATTCGGTCCGTCCTGGACCATTCTCAAGTAGGGACCATTCTTCTCAAGGGGGGGGGGGTAAGAGTAGAGGAGATGAAGGGAAATGGGTGGGGGGGGGGAGGGAAGAGTAGTGGAGATGAGGGGGCCGAGGAGGGAAGAGTAGAAGAGAAGAAGGGCCGAGGGGGGAAGGGTAGTAGAGATGAGGGACCGGGAGGGGAAGATTAGAGGAGATGAGGGGCCGAGGGGGAGAGGGGATAAAGTAGAGGAGATGAAGGGCCAAGGGAGGGAGGAAGAGAAGAGAAGAGGAAAGGCTAAGAGAGGGAAGAGAAAAGAAGATGAGGGGCCGAGGGGAGGAAGAGTAGAAGAGAGGAAGAGCCGAGGAAGAGAAGAGTAGAAGAGATGAAGGGCCGAAGAAAGGAAGAGATAAAGGAGAAGAAGGGCCAAGGGGGGGGGAGAGTAGAGATGAATGGCCAGAGAAGACTAGATGGAGGCCAAGGGAGAAGACTAGAGGAGATGAGAGGCCGACGGAGAGGAGATGAGGGGGAAGGGGAATGAGTAAGGAGAGAAGGGCCGAGGGGGTGATGAGAGGGGGGAAAGTAGAGGAATGAGGGGCCGAGGGGGGGGAAGAGTCAGGAGGGCCGAGGGGGGGGGAGTAGAGGAAATGAGGGGAGGAGGATGTGAAGAGAGCCTGAGAAGAGATGGAAGAGAGCCTGAGAAGAGGGGAAGATTAGAGGAGACGAAGGGCGAGGGAAGGAAGAGGTCAGGAGGGGCAGAGAGGGAGGGGTTAAAGACAGGAGAAGGAGATACAGGAAGAGAGGGCAGACAGTTGTTGGGGGGGGGGGAAAGGAGGAAGTTGGGGTAGAGATCTTCGAGGAAGAGAAGAGTGAGGGAGAGAAACCCGGGCAACGCCGGGTACCCCACCTACTAGTTGATAAAAGTATCATAATATTCTGATGACAGAATAACATAAACTTGGCATGAAGACTTAAGATACTCATCTTACAAAATATAAGGTATATGTTACAAATATATATTATACAAACTGCTATACTGACGGTAGCTATGCAGGAAGGTTACTGTAATATATGGTAGCTATACTGAGGGTAGCTATGCAGCAAGGTTACTGTGAAATCTGTTAGCTATACTTAGGGTAGCAATGCAGGAAGGTTACTGTAATATATGGTAGCTATACTGAGGGTAGCTATGCAGCAAGGTTACTGTAATATATGGTAGCTATACTGACGGTAGCTATGCAGCAAGGTTACTGCGAAATATGTTAGCTATACTTAGGGTAGCTATACAGCAAGGTTACTGTAATATATGGTAGCTATACTGAGGGTAGCTATGCAGCAAGGTTACTGTAATATATGGTAGTTATACTGAGGGTGGTTATGCAACAAGGTTACTGTAATATATGGTAGCTATACCATATTGTACCTGTATTGTAAATTACCTGAAAAATATGGTATACTAAGGCAGGTATACTGCATGATTGGTGTAGAGCAAGACACGTAATCTATATGCAATATAAGACAGGGGAAAACTCACAACAATTGTTCAATAAGACAAGTGCACAGTACAGAAGTGTTACATTGAGTCAAGTGCACAGTACAGAAGGGTTACATTGAGTCAAGTGCACAGTGCAGAAGTGTTACATTGAGTCAAGTGCACAGCACAGAAGGGTTACATTGAGTCAAGTGTACAGTACAGAAGTGTTACATTGGGTCAAGTGTACAGTACAGAAGTGTTACATTGGGTCAAGTGTACAGTACAGAAGTGTTACATTGAGTCTGGCCAAAAGCAAGATGAGCATACAGTTAGGTGGATATACGTATAAACAAATTCACTAGGAGTCTGATATACTAACACAAAGCACACAAGGTGAAGAGGGTCAAGTTCCAGCGGCCACCCGATCCCACCAGCACCATCAGCTCCTCGAAGGTGGTCACTCTTGAGACATTGTCCTCGGTGTTGGTTTCTCCTGACACGTTGTTTCTCCTACTTGAGTCCTCGTCCATGGTACCATTCGCGGAGTCTCTCTCACTTACATCACCCTCCATCGTCTTTTGTCTCAAGTCTTTCCTCACGTTTTAGCTTCGCAAGCTTGACTGTAAACATTTTTAAATACAGTATATAAATATTTATTCTCTCTCTCTCTCTCTCTTTCTTTCTCTCTCTCTCTCTTTCTCTCTCTCTTTCTCTTTCTCTTTCTCTTTCTCTTTCTCTCTCTCTCTCTCTCTCTCTCTCTCTCTCTCTCTCTCTCTCTCTCTCTCTCTCTCTCTCTCTCTCTCTCTCTCTTCTCTCTTTCTCTTTCTCTCTCTCTCTCTCTCTTCTCTTTCTCTTGTGTCTTCTCTCTCTCTCTCTCTCTCTCTCTCTCTCTCTCTCTCTCTCTCTCTCTCTCTCTCTCTCTCTCTCTCTCTCTCTCTCTCTCTCTCTCTCTTTCTCTTCTCTTCTCTTTCTCTCTCTCTCTCTTCTCTCTTTCTCTCTCTCTCTCTCTCTCTCTCTCTCTCTCTCTCTCTCTCTCTCTCTCTCTCTCTCTCTCTCTCTCTCTCTCTCTCTCTCTCTCTCTCTCTCTCTCTCTCTCTCTCTCTCTCTCTCTCTCTCTCTCTCTCTCTCTCTCTCTCTCTCTCTCTCTTTCTCTCTTTCTCTTTCTCTCTCTTTCTCTTTCTCTTTCTCTCTCTCTCTCTTTCTATTTCTCTCTCTCTCTCTCTCTCTCTCTCTCTCTCTCTCTCTCTCTCTCTCTCTCTCTCTCTCTCTCTCTCTCTCTCTCTCTCTCTCTCTCTCTCTTCTCTCTCTCTCTCTCTCTCTCTCTCTCTCTCTCTCTCTCTCTCTCTCTCTCTCTCTCTCTCTCTCTCTCTCTCTCTCTCTCTCTCTCTCTCTCTCTCTCTCTCTCTCTCTCCACTCACCATCCCCATGTTCTCCAAACCATTCCCCCTTCCCAAGTCCCCTCGTCCTCCCCACCATTCCCCACTCCACCGTCCCTCGTCCTCCCCACACATCCCCCCCCCTCCCCCATCTCCTTCGTCCACCAAACAATTCCCTCTCCACCGCCCCCCTTTCCGTCTCCTAACTACTCCCCACTCCCCTATCCCCTCCCCCATCATTCCCTCCTCCCCTCCCTCGGCCCCTTGTCCTCCCCACCATCACCTACTCTACCGTCCCCTCGCCCTCCCCTCTATTCCCAACTTCCTCGTCCCCTCGTCTACCCTACCATTACCCCTCCCCTGTCCCTCTTCCTCCCACCATCCCCCACTCCCGTCCCCTCGTCCTCCCCACCATTCCCCACTCCCTCATCCGATGCATTACCAAATGATCTGATGTTCCCATCAGAAAATTGGGAACATTTAATGATCTGATGTTCCAATCACTGAAAAATAAGAATAGTTAAAAAAAAGAAAAACAATGAAAAAATAAAGAAAATACTTTGCTCACAAAATAAACGGTATGGTAAACAACACAGCTTAATTCCAACGCAATGTCACACAAAATACTGAAATCAAAATCTATGAAGATTTAATTTATCAATGCAATCGGAAAACATATTTAGTATAGCGTGTGTTGTTCTTACATCCAACAGATAACACTGTTTTAAAAAAAGTATGTTTTTTCCTACCACAGGCGAGGCATTTATATCGTAGGTATATAAAAACACACACCTATTCGAATGCAACGTTGTGTCAAAATTTCAAAGTAATCGGAAAAGAGGTTCCAAAGATTTCCCTCACATGAAAAACACACTTTTCAAAAAGCTTATTTTTCCCAGTCACAGAGGTGACATCTATATAGTATGTATATAAAACCCGCTCCGATGCGAATTTAAAGTTGTGTGAAAATTTCAAAGCAATCGGTGAAGAACTTTCGGAGATTAGTGATTTTGAACAAACGAACAATTCCATGCGTGGAAATGTAATAGGAAAAAAGATGCTTTTCTTTTAAAACAGCACCATCTGTTGGACGTAAGAGCAATACACGCTGTAACATCCGAAAGTTCTTCACATGTTGCTTTGAAATTTTGATACAACGTTCCATTCAAATACGTGCATGTTTTCATATATCTTTTACATAGATGCTACACCTGTGACAAGCAAAAACATGTTTTTTTGAAAAATTGAGCCATCTGTTGGACGTAATAGCAATAAATGCTGTACTAACTATGTTACGTTTCAATTTCAATGTTTCCGATTGCATTGATAAATAGAATTTTTATGGATTTTCATTTTGATTGAATTATTTTGTGTGATATTGCGATGGAATTGAGCCATGTTGTTTACCATACCATTCATTTCGTAAGTATAAGTATAGATGCCACACACCTGTGACAGGTAAAAACTTTCTTTTATTAAGAAATTATTTTATCTGCTGCACGTAGGAGCAACACACGCTATACTAAATATGTTACGATTCTATTTCAATGTTTCCGATTGCCCTGACAAATTGAATTTTCATAGATTTCGATTTATTTTCATTTTGATTTAATTATTTTGTGTGACATTGCATTGGAATTGAGCTGTGTTGTTTACCATACTGTTCATTTCATGATTATAGCTTATTTTTTTATTTTTTCATTTTTTTCATTTCGTTTTTTAACTGTTTTTTTTTACATTTCAGTGATTGGAACCTCAGATCATTTGATGTTCATAATTTTCTGATAAGAACATAAGATTATTTGGGAATGTATCAAACGAGGGGAGTGGGGAATGGTGGGAAGGACGATGGGACGGTGGAGTGGGGATGGTGGGGAGGACAAGGGGACGAGGGAAGGGGAAATGGTGGATAGGACATGAGGATGAGAGAAGAGAAGACGAGGAGAGTAAGGAATGGTGGGGACGAGGGGATGTCGGAAGGGGGAAGGATGGGGAGAACTGGGAGAAGGGTGACGCGTTGCTGAGCCACAGCAACGCGCGGCCAGACACAGCTGGTGTATATGGGTGTGTGTGTATATATATATGTCGTACCTAGTAGCCAGAACTCACTTTTTGGCCTACTATTCAAGGCCCGATTTGCTTAATAAGCCAAGTTTTCCTGAATTAATATATTTTTTCTAATTTTTTTCTTCTGAAATGATAAAGCTACCCATTTCATATGTATGAGGTCAATTTTTTTTTATTGGAGTTAAAATTAACGTAGATATATGACCGAACCTAACCAACCCTACCTAACCTAACCTAACCTATCTTTTATAGGTTAGGTTTGGTTAGGTAGCCGAAAAAGTTAGGTTAGGTTAGGTTAGGGTAGGTTAGGTAGTCAAAAAAACAATTAATTCATGAAAAATTGGCTTATTAGGCAAATCGGGCCTTGCATAGTAGGCTGAGAAGTGCGTTCTGGCTACTAGGTACGACATATATATATATATATATATATATATATATATATATATATATATATATATAGTATATTTGGTTAGCAGTCTTTCCTGTAGACATATATATTAAATATGACCGAAAAAGTAAGATTAATAATTATCTAACACGAAAAAGATCGAGAAAATTCGTGTTAGAATTATTAATCTTACTTTTTCGGTCATATTTAATAACATATATATATATATATATATATATATATATATATATATATATATATATATATATATATATATGTCGTACCTAATAGCCAGAATGCACTTCTCAGCCTATTATTCAAGGCCCGATTTGCCTATAAGCCAAGTTTTCATGAATTAATATATTTTCTCAATTTTTTTCTTATGAAATGATAAAGCTATCGATTTCATTATGTATGAGGTCAATTTTTTTTATTGGAGTTAAAATTAACGTAGATATATGACCGAACCTAACCAACCCTACCTAACTAACCTAACCTGTCATTATAGGTTAGGTTAGGTTAGGTAGCCGAAAAAAGTTAGGTTAGGTTAGGTTAGGTAGGGTAGGTAGTCGAAAACCAATTAATTTATGAAAACTTGGCTTATTAGGCAAATCGGGCCTTGAATAATAGGCTGAGAAGTGCATTCTGGCTATTAGGTACGACATATATATATATATATATATATATATATATATATATATATATATATATATATATATATATATATATATATAAATATAATATATATATATATATATATATATATATATATATATATATATATATATATATATATATATATATATATATGTCGTACCTAGTAGCCAGAACGCACTTATCAGCCTACTATGCAAGGCCCAATTTGCCTAATAAGCCAAGTTCCAAGTTTTCTTGAAATAATATATTTTCTCTAATTTTTTTCTTATGAAATGATAAAGCTACCCATTTCATTATGTATGAGGTCAATTTTCTTTTAATGGAGTTAAAATTAACGTAGATTATGACCGAACCTAACCAACCCTACCTAACTAACCTAACCTATCTTCATAGGTTAGGTTTAGGTTAGGTAGCAGAAAAAGTTAGGTTAGGTTAGGTTAGATAGGTTAGGTAGTCAAAAAAACATATAAATTCAGGAAAACTTGGCTTATTAGGCAAATCGGGCCTTGCATAGTAGGCTGAGAAGTGCGTTCTGGCTATTAGGTACGACTATATATATATATATATATATATATATATATATATATATATATATATATATATATATATATATATATATATATATCGTACCTAGTAGCCAGAACGCACTTCTCAGCCTACTATGCAAGGCCCGATTTGCCTAATAAGCCAAGTTTTCCTGAATTAATATATTTTCTCTAATTTTTTTCTTATGAAATGATAAAGCTACCCATTTCATTATGTATGAGGTCAATTTTTTTTATTGGAGTTAAAATTAACGTAGATATATGACCGAACCTAACCAACCCTACCTAACCTAACCTAACCTATCTTTATAGGTTAGGTTAGGTTAGGTAGCCGAAAAAGTTAGGTTAGGTTAGGTTAGGTAGGTTAGGTAGTCGAAAAACAATTAATTCATGAAAACTTGGCTTATTAGGCAAATCGGGCCTTGCATAGTAGGCTGAGAAGTGCGTTCTGGCTACTAGGTACGAATATATATATATATATATATATATATATATATATATATATATATATATATATATATATATATATATATGTCGTACCTAATAGCCAGAACGCACTTCTCAGCCTACTATTCAAGGCCCGATTTGCCTAATAAGCCAAGTTTTCAT